ATATATATATATATATATATATATATGGGATTTGGACTTAATAAGAACTTAATAACAAATATGGTGTTGCTATTAACTTTATAAGGGATATATCCATTCCATATAATGAAGGTTATCTGAATATTTACTTCTGTTACCAGGTAACACTACGTAGTATTGCTTTGTTATTTTATGTGAGTGTATGTTGTTTTTATAACTGCTAAGTTCCTAAGGGAAGAGAGTCTTCATGCTCCCCTTGTTGGTTCTCCTTTAATTATTGGATACTCAATAACTGCTGTTTGATAGATTTACAGGTTAAGTGTGGAGAAGGTAAATAATTTGGATTTGTGTCCCTATTAAGTATTTCATATCTAGGGAGCCAGCATACCATATTCATGCCGTATGTATTTATATAGTTGTGAAGTATTTTAAAAACTCATTGGTGTAAAATGTTATACTTGATCAATGTAAATATTTAATTTCAGTGAAGAGAATATTCATTTTAAAAGTAACTTTCAAGTCACAGGTGTCTTGTACAAATAGAAACTAGACAATAAAGCAAGATTGAATTTGTTAATTGTTTGAATAAGTATGTATAATATAAACATAGTTAATTGTTTGAATAATTATGTATAATATAAACATAAACAAATTGATATGATTAATGCCAAAATAAGTTTTCTTTTTGCCTTTATGTATCCAAGCTTTTGAAGTGGGTTGGACTTGATATTTTAAAAAATGTTTAAACTTTGAAAATCTCTGACATGTGAGCAGTATTGTGTGTCAGTCACACTTAGTAGCCTTAGGAATACTGAAGAGAAGGAAGTTTCAGACTGAGGATAAAATTTCTCAGTGGTCTTTAGGGGTGAATTGATTAAGAGTAGAAATGTGGAGCATTGCTTGGTTTTCATAATTTGATTGCAGGTCATAAATTATTTGGACATGTGTTGAAAGGATATAGGTATTGTTTTTTAACTTGCCATTATATTTGTTTTCTCTTATTAAAGGAAAAGTTATTGGAAAAAATGGCAAGGTTATTCAAGAAATAGTGGACAAATCTGGTGTGGTTCGGGTGAGAATTGAAGGAGACAATGAAAATAAACTACCTAGAGAAGATGTAAGTATTTAAAATGTAATTTAGTTGGCCTGGGTTTTTTTCATATTCTTTCTTGGTTGACTTATAGTGTTGTATTTTGGAAATGGTTTTATGAAATTATTGGGTTGTCGGAAAAGTCATGACGCATTTTTGCAACAAAAAACAGAAAAATACGTCATGACTTTTCTGACAACCCAATATATATCTAGTGAGCTACTTACAATCTGGTACAGCGGTATTTTGTTGTTTTGTTGTTTTTTTTTTAATTTTGTTTCTTATGGTACTTCCTTACACACTTAGAAAACAAGTCATCTTTTAACTATGGGCCTTGGGTTCTTGGTTGATCCTTAGTACTTCAGTAAAAAGCCAATTTTTGATGAAAAGGCTTTAATTTGATCATCTTAACAGTTCTTTTTTGTATTTAGCCTATAAAGCTGTATAATTTGATACTCAAAAGTCTGTATAAAGGAATTCTTCATAAACTACGTTCTTCTTGACATTTTTATAGAATCTGAAAGCACTGACCATTTCTTAATTGAAATTATTAAGCTTTTATATTGCTATTCATTTTGATATGAACTTTCTGAAATTTTTTCCATTGTTCTTCTCATGTGTTGATGTTTTACCCACAATGCTAGTCTTTACACTTTATGCATTACTTTAAGGGTCTTTTAACCTTTGTGGCTCTAGTCATCAACTCTATAGTTGACTTAAACTTTAGGCCTGGATATAAGGCAAGGATTTTCCCCCGATTAGCTCCCAGAAAGCAGTACACTCAACTTCTTCTGTTTCTCACAGTAGATTACTGTTCGGAGAGTTTGTTAGCCTATTGGATAAAATCAGTCTCACAAAACAAAAAAGAGAAAACTATAGACATGTAGCCCATTTAAATAGCCTCACATCAAGGACATAGTAAAGATGCCTATAAAAGATAGCCATTTCCTTTATTCTTTTTAGTTAGTTAGAATGTAGAGGTAAATACACACTTAAAAGGAATGAGGAAAAACAAATGACTTAGTATTATACAAATGAGTGCTTGTGGCTCTGATTGATTTCACCTTGCACTGGTTCAAAAATTGCTGCAAATATCAAGTAACAAAATATTTTTAATCAACCCTCCCTATTTTTAATGACTTTAAGATTCCTTTGAGATAAGGAATAAGATCAGTGGTGTCATACTATTATTATTGGCACTTACCCCTTTATACTTACTATATAAAACACTGGTGATCAATTTGGCATATATCCACTGCCTGAAATTGGTCTGAAGATCAAGATGTATACTGGCCGAGGCCATCAAATGACTATAAATTTCTTAGCTTGACTAATATTTAATTTTCCCTTAGCTTGACGTATCCCTATTGCTTTCCAGTATTTACCATCTTGTTGCAAGATAATTCTTCTAGGTCCTCATATATGAATAAAAATGCTTTTCGGTGTTTGGTCATTGTCACCCCCATTTCTATGCCAGGATTAAATTTAAATGTTCACAGAAACCAGATAGATTACGTAAATGATTAAGCAGGTTGGGCTGTAAAAGACAGATGGGAGTGCACCGGTGCCTTTTTACAAAAGAAACGCATGCTGCTCAGCTTTAATCTGGTTGACAGCGTGGGAATGCTGCGTTGTGTTGCTGTATCTTCCAGTATTTTTATGAGAAGCTGAAAATCTATAATGTACAGAATTTTTTAACTTTCAAAACATTGAATGTTAAAACAAACCTGAAGGCTTAGCATTGGCTTACCTGGGGCCACTTTTCAAAATTGAAGCTATCTAAATCCCCTGGAGACTCACTTTATAACTTGCTTACTCTGAGGTCTTTAGTGACCCACCTCTAGCCTGAGATGACCTTTCCCACCTTTGTACCATTGTAATTATTGTCTATATAATTGGGTGTTTAATTATTTTCTTTCAGCTTATATATTTTCTGTTTTATCTTATGTCTCCAAGCCAGGTTATGAACTGCTTGAAGTCAAGAAATCAAATCTGAATTCTCATTTTCTTCATTCTTCCCTAACATTATCAATTATATAGAGTAGACACTTGATAAATATTTTAAATCAGTTAAGATTTTTAAAGATTAGATTTGACTTTTTAATTGTAAAAGAAATATGTGTGTGTAAAAGTTAGAATAGGACAGAAGGGTTTAGTATGTATATACTAAACTTTAGCATATATACATAAATGTGTATCTGTGTCCTGTCCATGTCTCTCCTCTCTCCTCCATCATGCCTAATAGATTTTAGACTGTTGTCAGGTTGCCTTTTCGAGTCTGTTTTGCTATTAAAAACTGTGTTGCAGCAAACATTCTTGTGACTGGAGAGGAAATTCCTGGAAATGGATTTGTTAGATCAAAGGGTATATAGCTTTAACATTTTTAGATCTTGTCAATTTTCTCACACATTCCTTCTAATATTGGAAATGTGCCTGTTTTCCATGTATTTGCCAATACTGAGTTTTATCATATTTTAATTAGTGCCATTCCAGAAGGTGTACATGTTATCTTTCCATATTTTCCATATGTTTTAAAGACATTTTAATTTTTCTGTAAACACCTTGTTTGTCCTTTACATATTTTTTCTCTTTTTTATTATTGAGTTGTAAGAGCTTTTTGCATTTTAAGGAAGTTCAAGTCTTTTGTCTTTTTTTTTTAAAGATTTTTTTATTGGGGAGTTGGGGAAGGGGAACAGTGTTGGGAAATTGGGGAAGGCAAACAGCCAAGTTGCTGTCCTTTTGTTCTTCAGTCTAGTTGTAAAGGATGTCGTTTCACTGGCCCATGTTGGTATTATGATCATTGCACTCTTCCCAGCTGAGGTAGTCAGTCACCGGCCATTGGATGCCTGCTCTTGGCGGCTCACATGAGCTGCTAGCCTGCTCACACTGGCTGCCAGCCGCTCACGGCAGCCCACTGCAGCCAATGCTGTCGCCGGCCTCTCACAGCAGCCCAGCTCCAGGTCGAGTTGTTGTTTACAATCTTAGCTGTAGAGGGCGCAGCGTCACTGGCCCATGCGAGAGTCAAACTGGCGGCCCTGTTGCTCAGAGTTCGCACACTTAAGCTAACTCTTAATCAACGTAGCCACTTGGCCGGCCCTCTTTGGTCGTTTCATATGTGTTGCAAATAGTTTTTGTTACTTTTGAAGTTCTTTATTTCGTGCAGACATTTAAAATTTTTTATATTGTTGGATTTTTTTAGACTTACGCTTTATGACTTACGACTTCTACACTTTGTGTCATGCTTGGCAGGGTCTTCCCTACTCTTAGATCATTCAGAAATCCATGTATGTTTTATTCTTCAGTGGTTTTTTTTTTTTGGTATGTAAAATTTTCATTCATAAGATTAGAAAGCCTGATATATATTGGTCTGTCGGAAAAGTTATGACATGTTTTTTTCTGTTTTTTGTTGCAAAAATGCGTCATGACTTTTCCGACAACCCAATAAATTAAATTTTTTAGCACACTTCAATGCTAAATTGTGTAAATTGGAATTTTTGTGGTGTAAGGTGTCAGGAGGAGGGATTTGCTAGTTGGTTGTCTCAGTGGTATCTATTAAATATAAGTAATCAGTTCTTAGCAAATTGAAAAAATTAGAAATTTCACTGAAATAACTCTTAGAAATGAACTCATATTCAGTAATAATTATTTACTCTTCTGTTTCTTACTATGGCTTTACAATAGTCATTAAAATATGTATCTTTTTACCTCTCCTTTTATTTGGAAATAACTCTTGATGATAACATTTCCAGTTAAAGGTCAAAGCATTGTATTTCTCTTATTCCTTACAGATCATCTGTCTGAAATGACTTTCCGTTCTTTATCTACTTGGTAAAATCCTATTTGTTTTTTAAAGCCACTTTAAATAACAATAATAATATTCTTATGAATTCTCATAAGTTTCCACATCTGGGGTGGCATAATTCACGTTTTATCTAATTACTGTGTTTTTTATTATATCACTAATGGCTATACAATGAGATTATTACAGGACTGTTTAGTATCTTTTCTGAGATTGTGATTGCCTTTAGAGCAGGGACTTGATCTTCATTCCTTAACATAGATTCTGGCAGTTAACAAGTGGATGTTATTTGGAATTGGGTTAACTGGATATGAAATTGGCTGGCTAATTTTATGACTTTGGGCAAATTGTTTCCTTAACTATAAAATTTGATTTTTTTTGAGGTTACTTTTTTTTTGGCTAAGCCATCCTGCCACCTTTTGGCAGCTCAGCGGCAGCAGTAGCTCAGCTTGGGCTGGGAATCAAACTGGAGACCCTGTTGCTCAGAGCTCGCACTCTTGAGTGAGCTCTTAACCAACTGAGCCACTCGACTGGCCCTTTGAGGTTACTTTTAAATGAACACTAAATAAGATATAGATGTAGAATAAATAGTCCCAGAAATATGGTATGTGCTCAAAGTTTTTTACATCTCCTCCCACCCCTCCCCCCCTCTGGCTTTTATAGTCACTTTGTATCCTCTCTTAACTTTCTGTGAATTCCCAGGGACAAAGTCAAGATTTCCTCACTTCTTAAGCTTAAGTTAGAGTTCCTCATTTCATGTCTTCATAATTGTATTTACTTCTTTGGAGTCACTACAACTTTCTGTAAGCTTCGTGACGGCTGTGCTTACTGCAGCTTTAACACCTGCCCTGGTGTGTTTCTATTTTTAATTTCCCATATCTAAAATTCTCCAATTAGTTTTTTAATTAGTTTGAAAATAAGTCATAGAGCATTTCTTATACAGAATCAAAAATTCTTAAGCTATACCCAGTTCCATAACGGTTAGGAACTATTTTGTAAAATCAAGAAATAAGGAGAGAGACTAAAATTGATTGGGTGAGTTTATTTAGGTTTTATTCACCCTCCTTAGCCAATAGTAAGCTGGAAGTGTATTTCTTTAAAGAAAAATAACCCATCAACTAGTTACCTTGTTTCTTTTCCTATTTTTTTATTCTCTTGAAATTCAGTGAACTAAGGTTGAGTTAATCGTTTGATTTGCTTTAATACCTATGACTAAGAATATGTCCTTACCAATAATCTGTTTATTTTTCTTGGTGTAAGTATTTATACTCTGTAGGTGATACTTCTGTTAATTGTCAGAAAGCATTCCCTCCAGCACAGACTTGGAAGGTTTATGTTATCTTAGCCCATATTGGGACAGTCTGGCTAATGTGTTCTATTGTTCTTAAAGTATTCACTGCTAAGGTGATAATAATATATCTAGTCTGTAAATTCATGACAGTTCGAAGGAAAATGTCTTAAAGTTGGCTTATATACTTAGAAAATTAGGTTGAATTAGAAATTACAAAACCTGATATAAACTGAAAGTAATTTCTTAAATTTTTAGCACACTTAAATGCCAAGTTGTAGTGCAAATGTGACAAGTTATTGAAAATCTCAGTATTTCAAATTACTGATTTTTTAAGTTTACTTTTAAATATTGAAATTTAGTATAATAGATGTAAATTGCTGTTTTAGAAAAGTTTTCCAAATTAAATACTGGTATGTCAGATTTAGGCTCGAACTTCGTTAAAATATTAAATGCTTAATGACATTGTGTTTTCTTACAGGGAATGGTCCCATTTGTATTTGTTGGCACTAAAGAAAGCATCGGAAATGTGCAAGTTCTTCTAGAGTATCATATTGCTTACCTGAAGGTTTGTACACTATTCATATTTACAGCATTGTTGCTTCAAACATGAAACTTAAATGAATTTTGTATTTGTCTGTAGTAAATTTCAAATCTCTCCATATATTTAATTTGGTTTCAGATGTGCCCTATTTTTCTACATGAGAATTTAAAAGTAAAAGGTCCTCTGCCATAATAAAATGATTGGCCTCATGCACATTGTTTCTCTTTCTATCTCTTCTGAACTTTTACATTTCTTTCCTCACTATGTAAGAAATGATTACTCTTGTGTTCCTGTAATTTGATTGTCATTACTCATGTACCTACATGTTCTATACTAGAACTGTTTTGTTTTTACCTTAATGTTTTACATGCAAATAGGGCACAGAACCAGAGTGAAGATGGGGGTTTTTTGATAACTGGTATTATCTGAATCAGATGCACTAGCCCTATAGAAATCATTTGATAATTCTTAACTATTGTTTCTAATGTAGTGTGTTTGAGTTGATAAAGAGCAAGCGTTTTAGAAAAGAAATGCCCTATAAATTATTAAAAGTTGCATTTGTCATTTTATACTCTTGTTCTTTTTTTCTATTTTCTCTTGTTTAGAATGTAGTAATACCCTCAATTGCTGTCTCTAGTAGGTTTTCCTTTTAGCCACTCATGTCATTGCTGCTATGTTAACTATTTTGAAAGCGCCCCCGATAATGTCATTTTTTCCTTTTAAAACTCATTTTTATATGATAAGTCTCAATCCAATCTGACATTCTAAACTCATGTTTTTATTTCCCAGTACTCTACTACCTTTTAACCAAGAGCTTTGTTTAGACACCTTACCATTACATCTTGTAATAACATCAGTTTCTGAATAACCAAGCCTACTTGTTCATCTAGGTCACAACTGAAGTGTCACTATTTTGATAAGAAAGTTGGTTATTAATAGTACCTCTCATAGATGATGCTATTAATAACTTCATTAACAGAATTTTAACTGCTTGAGAGCTAAATCTAGTAATGTGTAATTACTAGCTACTTAATAAATAAATAATTTTAACACTTGTCTGTTAAACATCCCCCTGAAAGAGGAGAGTTCTTGTTCTTTTTTACAGTGTATGACTATAGCACTTAGCATGGCTGGTACACACGCTAAGGCATTCAGTAAATGTTCAGTGAATTGAATCCACAAGTGACCTTGTAAATTGCTTACAAAGAACACAATTGTATTTTACCAAATGCCCAAGATCACAGTTTTTTTCATTGATAAGGCAAAATTTACAAATAAGATTTACCCTTTTTTTGTTTTGATTATAGGAAGTGGAACAGCTAAGAATGGAACGCCTACAGATTGATGAACAGCTGCGACAGATTGGTATGGGTTTCAGACCTTCTTCCACCAGAGGGCCTGAAAAAGAGAAAGGATATGCCACTGATGAAAGTACCGTCTCTTCTGTACAAGGTTCTAGGTCTTATAGTGGAAGAGGCAGAGGTCGTCGGGGCCCTAATTACACCTCCGGTTATGGTAAAAAACATTTTTTTGGTAGTAGTTTTAGTTTAGGTGCTCCAGTACATTTTGCTTATTATTTAGTTAGTTCCTTACTTTGTCTTGTCTTTGAGGACAGTAGATAGTTCTGAGGTATATGTCTTAATGGTAGTGACAGCACATTTTATGTTAATGACAATGAAAGGTATATATAATGTTTAAGCAGCTATGTAGTAAAATGAAACATGTTTTTGTTAAGTTGGTAGTTCATGCTCGTGTTCTGAATATTTAAAATATATATATGAAACTTACATATATTCCCCTTGTACACTTGTATAAATTTTCCTAGTGATGGTGGTGATGCTGCTAGAAATCTTTTGCTTACCTTCTAGGAGAAGTAAAAATGAAAAATATGCTAATACTGTGCCAAGATTTGCATATAGCAAATCTGTTATTAGTTTTTAGAATGTACTTTATTGGTTCATTTGGCAGTTTTGAATATTAATATATCTGGAATTATTTTCTGAAATAACTGCATTTCACTAAAATGAGGGATTTAAAACTCAGAACCTAATTAACATTTTATAAATGAACATTTTTCTAATATGTATTTATTTCGTGGTGAGGATGGGGCCTAACCCATGTAAGGAAGGGGCCAGTGGATGGTTTGATGATCGTAATTCTCTAATCTTGAATTCTCACTTATTCTCCTTCAGCTTTGGAGTTGTTCCATTTTTCTACATTTGGACTTGGATTTTAGCAGTGACCTGGGGTTTTTCCCTCCCTCGTTCTGTTTCTTTTCCCTCCCCTTCTCCAGTCCCCATGCTCATCCTAACTGCTTTGGGAAAACATTTCATAAGCCTTTTCTAAAATAGAAGCCATTTAGGGGAAATAGGAATACATGAGGAATACATGAAAGCTTATAGTGATTCCACATCCAAATTTCATGTTTGACTGAAGGATCATTTAATGATGCCAGTTACGTTAAATTTGTATTGTCTTTCATTTTTTATAGTTGGAAGGTTAGTTATCATGTTTCTGTGTTCTCATTTCCTGGTATTTTTTATTATTTTAAAATCATCCCTGTTTTGAAACCTGAAAAACGAAATTCCTGTGAAGTAAAATTTTAGCATGTGAAGGTCTGAAAATTGAGAACTATTATTGTATTTCTGAAAATACATTTAATACAAAAGACAACCAGTAATTAAATAGAAATTAAGTATATACTGAATGATTTTAGAGGTACAATAAACCAGATTTGGCTTTTGGATGATAAGGATGAGTTCTTTGAAGAATTTTAAAAGCCTCTGGGAAGCCAAGTGAACTTATTGAAGAGGTCACTGGCAAAATGCATTTGTTGACACATAATTTATATGAGAGTGGTAGAGGAGTATTGGAATTGAAGAAAGCTGTGCCAAATTGTTCAGTAGATGGCACTCTTACCTCTGAATCTTTGCAGGCTAGTAACATTGTGTTTCTTGAAATAGCCTTCGATCTTAAGTGGGCTTGAGAGAAATACACATCATTTGAATTTGATTATATGTTTTCTTGTCCACTTAATATCAGGATTCTTAGGAGATAGTATATATAAGTTGTATAAGAAACATTTTCTCCATATAACATACCTGAAGTTGCCATGTGTCTTACAGTGGAAGATGTCTTACAACTTCATTTGGCAGCATTTTCTTTAATGGCATACAAAATGCTGTGTCTTACAATGGATGGCATGTTGAATTTGATAAAATGTACTTCATCTTAATTTTAGCATACACGATCATTGAAAAGAATGTGAACCGTCTTCATAAGGTGATTTTAGAAGTTTAAAGGGGGAAGTCTGATTTAAAGTTCTGTTAAAAACAGGTCTTTTTATTTGTTGGTGTCATTAAAAAATTGAAGCAGTTTCATGAATCATTTTTAAAGCTTTTAAAACATTTTTTGGATTTATTAACTTAACATTTTACAAAATTGAGAGATTGGAATGTTTGCAGTGATTTCAACACAGTATGTTTTCTATTGGTGCTGTAACAAATTAAAAACTTAAAGGCTTGAACAACAAATTTATTATCTTACAGTTCTTTGGGTCAGAAGTCTGACATGAGTCTCACTAGGCTAAAGTGCTGGCAGGGCTGTAAACCTCTCTGGAGGCTCTAGGGGAGAATCTGTGTCCTTGACATTTCCAGCCTCTAGAGACCACCTCCATTCCTTGGCTTATGGCCCCTCTCCCTCTCTTACGAAGTTAGTGACTCTAGAGAATCCTTATGTGGCCATTTCTCTGGTTCTCTGCAGTTCAGAGAGGTTCTCTTTTAAAGATCCTTGTGATTAGTTTGGCTTCACTTGGATAAACCAGGATAATCCCACCTCAATGTTCTTAACCTTGATTACATCTACAAAATCCCTTTTGCCATCTCAAAAATGTTTAAGGGTTTTTTAGAATGAATGTGTAACACTAGCCAATTCATTAGCCTTTTTTGTGTGTTGTACCTTGGTATCATAGATATTGAAATCTATGATTTTGACACCCCTTTAAATATTTTGAATACTATATATAGGTTAAATTAAGGAAGAATTTTGTTGCTTGGACACTGAGTTAAATACTACACTATATCTAAAGAAAATTTAATAGGCACCTTTGTTAAAATCTTTACAAATGAGATATTCATCTACTTCAAATTTTGGTAATGTTTCAGGCAGAGTAGAGGTTTTTAAATAAATTCAGAACTTCTTACATATTCCAAAGGTTTTCTTCACTACTCATGAAATGATAAATTGCCCTTAGTCTAACAAACCATTTAATAAATAAAGTCAGTTAATAAAGTTCTTTTTTGTCATTGGAAAAAAAAGTGTCTTCGGTGACACTTTTACTCCTAACAAAGACTCGAATGTGAATAATAGAAACTTGCTATATTCTTACTAAAATATACTTCAGCTAATTACTTAATCCATTCTTATATAATTGACTAGTTATATTCATATTCGACAGCTTGTGAAGAAAAAAGATGCATTGAAGAGTTAGCTTTAAAGGAGAAAGGAAGTTGGTAGGCTCCTTCATTTGTTAAACTTCACATTTTATTCCCTACATTTCATGCATCTTTAGAGCTCTGGTATTTTGTTCTTATCATCAGGTGACAGTGGAGTTTAAATGTAGGGGATTTTTAGTTTTCTGAATCACTCTTTATTTGAGAATTTAGCAAAGGAACTTCAAAATCATGCAGTAAATTTACTTAAGAGAAAATTGTTAGGCTCACTGGTAGACATTTGGGGGCATAGAGGTTTGAGATAAGAGCTCCATCTTTTAAATTTATGATAGACCAAGTGAGAAATAGATCCAAAAGGATAAAAAGAGAAAACAACACGTGACAACAATGTATGATAGGTATACATTACTTATAAGGAAATAAGAGAAGGGGAGAGGTCTGTTTTCTGTTACATTGGTCTGAACCTAGAGATTGAACTGGGCTTTGAAGGGGATATGTTTGGATATATGATAAAAGGGAAGGGTGGAAGTGGCATCCCAGTACTACAAAAGGAGAGAGGTGGGAATGAGTGTGTTAGTAATTGGGTTACATCAGTCTGACATTTTGTGATATGATGATGATATTGTAGGCTTCTATAGAATATTTGCAGTGTTTAAATTTTTTAAAGGTTACTATTAAAATAGGTCATTGGAATGTTAGAAATAATCTGTAAACTTTGAAAGTCTTGCTGGATTTTTCACTGATAATGGCTTCAATTGTATTGTCAGGTTGAAGCTGTCTTTTCTCAGGATAACCTTAAAATTTGTTCAGTAATTTCAAATATTGTATTCTAATTTAAGATAACTATTGCTTATAAAACAGTTTTATGTACAACCACTAAAAATATACTCCCAGTTTATGAGACCTTCAATTATAAGAAACATCCTGATTTCAGAGTTGTTAAATGTGGAAAAAAAGTACCCCCTAGAATTAGTGAAATAATGGTAGAATACACTATATAATTCAATTATTTTTCTAAATATGATTAAATTTGCCTCTAAATATTGGATAGCACTTACATTTATTAGACTAATAATTTGATACTAAAACCTGATAATGGCCAAAATTTTTTTAATATTGCTCCATATTAAGTGCATTTCATATTGCATACGTTTTATATGTTTTGTGTAATATTCTATTGGCTGTGGTTTTGCACATCGGTAGATACTGTATTACCACTTAATTTCATTTTTTTAGTTAATAAGTTTCAAAATCATTCTAATCTTTATTGGGTTGTCAGAAAAGTCATGACACATTTTTGCAATGAAAAACAGAAAAAATGCGTCACGACTTTTCCGACACCCCAATACTTAGGTTTTTTTGAAGCAGCCAGTCATTATGGTTAATTGAAACAATGATTTTGCAGGAAATAAGTTTGAAAAATGTTGCTCTTTTTTTTAAATAGGAGTCTAAATTGGTTTATGTTGTCTTCTTTCCCAAGGAACAAACTCTGAGCTGTCTAACCCCTCCGAAACAGAATCTGAGCGTAAAGATGAGTTGAGTGATTGGTCATTGGCAGGAGAAGATGATCGAGAGAACCGACATCAGCGTGACAGTAGGAGACGCCCAGGAGGAAGAGGCAGAAGTGTTTCAGGGGGTCGAGGTCGTGGTGGACCACGTGGTGGCAAATCCTCCATCAGTTCTGGTAGTCTTTTATATAATATGTCAGCATCCTTTCTTTGTAAGCAGTGTAACTTTATACAAGTTAATTTGTTTCCCAGGACCATCCATTTTTGGAAGTTTCTCTTGCCACTTACTGTCTGAGAAAAACAGAACATATAGCAACATAAAGAAAAGCCTTGTAGAAAGTAGTGTTTATCAGTGAAGGTTTAGATAGAATGTTCAGGTTGGAAAAACTTTAGCTGGCTAAGTTTCTATGTTCAGATGTTTATCCCTTCGATTTTGGGGGGGCTTATGTACTTGGAATTTCCCCCTTGATTTGTGGGTGTTATGTGATTGTCTGTCAGACAGGTCCAGAGAATTCTTACGCTCACAAACATCTTAAATACCTTTGTACACTTTAATAGTAAACTTAACTGAAAAGCGTTCTTTGCTACACTATGTACTACTTTGGGAATGAGAAATTTGTGAAATCAACTTAAATTTTTTTTTTAATTGTTTGAGGAATTGAGTTATAAAGAAGAGTGTTTACAAGAATAAGATTTGAGGTGTACAGGCAACTTTTTACTTGTGGGTTTTTTTTCCGAAAATTTTAAACTAGTGGCATTGTGTGGGAGTTTACAGAATGTTCTTGCTTAGCATAATGGGCTAGGGGGGAGAATTGTCAGGGATACGTGGACTAGATTATATCAGGGATATATCATTATTAAGAAAACCATTCTTAATGATATACTGTACCCTATGAAAGTTCTATAGTATTTTAAATGTTATAGGACATGTGTATATATAAATAAATATACACCAAACATTTACAAATTAGAAAAAATCTGGGACAAAATCACAAAATTTAGGGACTTTTTAAAAAGGTACTCTAGTTTCAGTGAAATTCTTTGAGCCCTTAAATTTTGTTTACAGACTTTCAGGGAAATAGTTTTTATATTACTATGTTGCTCAGTGTTACCAAGGGTTATAAAATTATAGTATGCTGAATTGCAAAATAAATGTACTTAGTGTTTTATGATTAATGGATAAACTCAGTGTCTTTTGCAAAGATGATAGCTTGCTAGCTGTTACCAAAGGAAACTTAGAAAGGAAAAGTCGTGATTAGGTGAATTTCTTCTATAATTTGGTGGAGGCAATAAATGCACATAGGTAAGATGGGTATTTTTTTTTTTTTCTTAAAATTATATCTTAAAACTTTTCCTTTCCCACCCTCACTCCACCTTATTCCCCCATCTTCACTCTTTGTTTCTGGAGATGGGAGTACCAGTCAACATTCATTTCCTTATTTTCCTATAACCAGTTAGAATTTCAACTTTTTTAGTTTGCTTTTTTGTGTAAACTTGTTTTGATTGCTTCATTTCATAATAACAGATTTCTGGTAAGTCTTGGAATGCAGCTGTTGAGTATTATTTGGAACTAGCCCATTAATATTAGCAGAAAGCAGCAGCAGTCACCTTGAAGTTAGTAAAGGGGACAAAAGTTCTTAGAATTAATTCATATGAGCTGAATATTTCACTTTTTATTTCTCTAACACCTGGGAAGCATTAGCTAGGAATGTGAATGTCAAAAATAGCATATATTATTGGATTGTCAGAAAAGTCATGACGTATTTTTTCTTTTCCGTTGCAAAAATGCGTCATGATTTTTCTGACAACCTAATATTTTCTAACATTTTCCAACAAGTCAAAGAAGCTGAGGTGTCTGGTCTTCTTCTTTAATTTTTCATTGCCATCTAAAGTTTTTTCACGTTATTTTCCAGGTAAAATAGTGATACAGAAAACATTTGAAGACTATTTTTATTGGGGGAAAGTTGAAGTTTCTTTATCATTAATTGGCATAGCTCAGTATAGATCAAACATTCCTAATATTGCAGCTCTCTTAAACGAGTATTTCTTGCCTCTGACATGCATATAGTGCTCAAAGATCCAGACAGCAATCCATACAGCTTACTTGATAATACAGAATCAGATCAGACTGCAGACACTGATGCCAGCGAATCTCATCACAGTACTAACCGTCGTAGGCGGTCTCGTAGACGAAGGACTGATGAAGATGCTGTTCTGATGGATGGAATGACTGAATCTGATACAGCTTCAGTTAATGAAAATGGGCTAGGTATGTAAGCACTTAGGGAAAAGATATATATATATATATATATATAGTATAGTACTGTTAAATGTGTGATACTTTAAAAAAAAAGAAAACCCAAACATATGCAATTCGCAAGTTGAATTTTTTAGTGCTTGCTTCAAACAGGGTAGATAGCTTTGTCTGTCTTACATGTCTAGTTCTTAGATTTGTATAGCCAAATTATTTGAAACTGAGAGGGTTTTTATTTAAAGTGCCCTTTGATGCCATTACATCAATACAAATATTCAGACTGCAGGGCACTTAATAATATTGTTCCTAAACCAAAATTGGGCTTTCATCTTGCCTCTTTAAAAATTATTATAAATGACACTAGTGAAGGTATGTATATTGAGTAGGCATTGATTTCCAAAGGGCTAAAAATGTCATTAACTTTGATAAAAACTAAACTGTATTGGAGAGGAAAAACTTTATCCTTGAATGATGATAAATTAAGTCTCAAAGTTTGTTTAATCAGTTAAAACCCTCTTAATTTCCAGGTAATCCATTTTTTTATCTATTTGGAATGCTTAAAACTATAAGTGTATTTTTCCTGTCAGTATGTATGTTTTACCTTCTTCCCTGTTTTAACTAAACAGCTCTCTTTCCCCTTCCTTAAATCTTTGAAGGAAAGAAGTTATTTTTTATTTGTTTTTTTGTTGTTTTTGTCAGAATAGTTCATGGATGGTAAATTTTGCAATTACAGATGATAGTGAAAAAAAACCCCAGCGACGCAATCGTAGCCGCAGGCGTCGTTTCAGGGGTCAGGCAGAAGATAGACAGCCAGGTAACTTGAGTGGACCTGTTGACAACACCAGGTCATAAGCATGAAAAAATATGTCATGTGTCTGCTTCTAAATATATTATACTTACATGTACACATGTGTGCATATACATTCAAGATGTGCATTGCATAAATTGTTTACTCAACTAATAAGACTACTATTAAGAAAATGCATTCTTCCTTCACACCGTAAATGTTTAGTAACCTGTCTAATTGAACTAATGTGTGTCTCAATTTTTTTACATGGAAATACTGTTGAGAAGACCATTATTTTGTCCACGTGGCAGATTCTTCACACTTGAATTGGGGGCCTGCCATTCCAGAGATTATGTTGTAGATTGTAATTGAGGTTGATTGGCAAAACTGGGCAGCTTTTGCATGTTGCCTGCTTACTCTATCTGCATTCAGCACCTCATTTTTGTGGGAATTGTAGTAATACCCACAGTAAAAAAATAATAATATGAAAAATACTCAAAAGTGTGTTTTCCTAATAAGAAGGGAATGCATGTTATGTTTTTTATTAGTGTGATGCCTTTTCCCTACACCTACTAACTATTCAAATTAATAGTACTTACTTAGTTTTAGAATGTTAATTTTTTAAGCAGCCATAATTTTTAGTAACTTCAAAGAAACTTGTTTGCTGTGTCTATATTTTGAACATAATTCCATTTCCTGTGTACAGATAATCACATGTATATTCACAATGAAGAAATTGTGTGCACCAGAAATAAACCCCTTTTAAACTAATCAATTTTTGCATTCTTTCCAAAGCAAATTCTTTCATGTGTTTTCCCCAAATAAAGAATGTAAATTCCAGTATCTTCAGTATTTTAAGTTTACTGGTTATAGAGACATTTGGGAAAACAAGGGTCTTAGTTACTGTTCTTAAAACATTTAATGTTTCAAAGACAGTTGTAAATTTAAAAGGAATTAAATATTGTCAAAATTAGAAAGTTTCTAAAAAATGTTTTTTTCCCCTTCTTTTCCCTCTCTCTTTAGTGTTAGAAATATATTTTAGATCAAGAGATTGTATTTATTTGGTTTTTTGAAGCTGGCACAGTAATAAATGTAATCTCTGTCATACTTGATAAATAAGAAAATTCAAGCTATCAGTATGGGCTTAACAATAGGATAAATTACAATGTAATTTATTAACTAGATGGACAGTAGTTTACTTCTAAGTCAGTGTACATAAAAGGAATAATATAATGTGTTTGTTAAAGATTTCTGCATGATATTAATTGAAACCTGACTAATTTGTAGTTTTCAGTAACTTGTGTTCCATAATCACATTTATTCCTATTTTACTCTGTTCTTTTGAATTACTGCTTTTCATCTTTAGAACTCCTCACCTTCCCCAGCCTGTCCTACCGACTTCGCACAAAAAAAAAATACCCAACCATAGGATAGGTTGAACAAGCACATAATTTTCTCCTTGCCCCGACTGCAGCCTCTAGCTAAAGAATAGTAGTAACATTCTCTTAAATACACATTTAATTCTCTTTTGCTTAAAATCTCTTGTCCTTAATGTAAATTAAGGAGTGAGTCTTCTTTACCGTATTCAGAATATGACAGTACATTGGTGTCCAAAAGACGGGCTATAAGCACATTTTTTAAAAATCAACTGAGGTGTTTTTTTTATTTTACCTCCCCTGGGGAAGGGATGGGGAGGGGCACTGGTAAGTTTTTACCTTTCTAGCTAAGTGCCTCTTAATTGATATACTATATCGAAGTATGTTATTCTGTACATAGTGGATGAAGGGTTCTAAGAATTGTGACATACACATTTAGCAGTATGTCTGTCTATGCAGCAGGATTTCCAAGTAGATGAGTTCTTCCAGGTGTCACTGAGGGCTGAAATATGGAAACAGATTTAATTTATTAAGGTGCTCCCCAAACTAGAATCATTCCTAGAATGGTTTTGCCACTTCGTAGTGTAGACATAATAATGAAGTGGATTTGATAGTAACCCTCTCCCCAATTTTGGAAACCACTATTAAATGCATTTATAAATCCATTAACAGTTAATTTAAATGACTAAAATCTCTAAGATGAGCACACTGAGTTTCTTATAATTTGGAAGAAAAGCAGTTTTAGACACGAAACATATTTAGTGGTATTTCTAATAAATGATGTGTATTCTGACTTGTTCCTCTAGATGTTAAAAAAAGATTCATTTAATAGTTGTAAAGTTCTTGGATCTTATAAAAGTGTTCGCATGTTAATTCATCATTAAAAATGAAGTGTAAATATATTTAGCTTCATATTATATAAAAATGATTTGATTGAACCTAATGGACCAATTCTCCCCATACCTAGTGACTTCAATTTGAAATTTACTTGAATTTTCATTCTTTACATAATTAACTTGTTCCCATAATTTAAAATACACTGTATTTCATATAATCAGGGATTTTTCTTTACCAGTTTCTAATAAAAAATAATTCTTAGAAAGAAGGTGATTATTTTGATATTTCCTCAAATCAGTGAATTCTAAACTACATGTCCTAGAAGAGGAAGGAGGGAGACATGAAGTGAGGCCAGTCTAGAGTACCTACTTGTAGACCAGTGGTCATTTGTTCTAGGTTGGTTAATATTTTTCCGTATCACTACTGCCATCCACTCACTTCCTTGTAAACACAACACACACATGCACACACTCTGTTTACTCAGTCCCTCAAAAGACTGAATGATTGACAAAGTGGGGAGGGAGTGGTTAGTGAATTCATGGTGGCCCTTTTCACCACCATGATCAATGTCCACATTTTTAGGATGGTATTCTGTCATATTTAGTTTGCTTGTAGTTTTTTATTGTAGATTACTCAGATGGTTTCTAATGTGGAATGTTAAAAAGGAACCATAAAATATCACACTTGGATTTCTTAATTGTGCTGTTTTTAAAAATAAAAACAGAACAATATTTGAGTTAATCTTTTACATCTTTGATGAAATTTTCAAGTTGAAGTATATATCACACTATGATTTACACCGAATTTCCCCATTTTTTTCCCCACTGATAATTGCAAACAATGTCTGGGCTTAGAATGCTGCATTTCCTATTCTTGGTTGTGGATTTCTACCTCAAACTTATCCCACAACCGTAGACTCATTAGAAGCAAATGGCTGGATTCTTCTGAAAGAGGATTTTAGGCTTCCTCGATCTCCAGCTTAATTTTTTTTATTGTCATCACTAAGCCACAGGCACATTTTTCAAACTTTGTTTTTGGTTGGAGGTGGTACCCAGCTTAAGAAAATTTTGAAATTGGGTAACCCACCATTAGTTTACTTTAAAAGTAAAATTACTCTTTATCCATAAATAAACTTTAGAAATATTTTTTCAACACCTGTAATTTTTTTCTCATCTTCAACAGTCACAGTTGCAGATTATATTTCTAGAGCTGAGTCTCAGAGCAGACAAAGAAACCTCCCAAGGGAAACTTTGGCTAAAAACAAGAAAGAAATGGTAAGGAGAATTTAACCTGTAGGTTTTGTTGCCTTTTTTTTTTTTTTTTTTTTTTGGTTTGGTTTAGCTTTATTTTTACTTCTTAACTTTCTGTATGATCACTTGTTTCCCCAACTAGATGAATACTATTTTAGTTAAAGACTACTCTTGAGTTTGTTGTTGACCCCCAGGTAGCTGAAGAAATGCATGCTTGAGCCTGAAATACTTTTCCTAAAATAGCATTTGTAAAATTTAGTCTGCTCAAAGATACTGGGCATAGAAACTGTTGCTTAATTTGGGGACCAATAGGCTATATACTTCTCAGTGATGGATATAGACCTTTAAGTTTCAGTTCTTTTAAATGCTTTAAAGGATTTGATACGTAAATATGAGTTTTAAAAAAAAAGGTGAGTAAAGTAGGTGATTGTTTAACTTACGTATTAACTGTTTATATCTTTTACATGGTGAACTTTCCAGTAGCTAAAATTAGGTAAAAGTTTTCAGTAAACAAGTGCAGATTCTTGCTGTGGTTAAGGCACTGCTAGATATTAGAGACAGTTAAAAGACCCAGAGAAGTGGAGTACATTGGTATTTATTTTGAAATTTGAGAATGTATTTGAATTATTTGATCCATTGTGGTATATGAAACAAATTATTAGCTAATTAATGTTTACGTAGCTATTTTCCTCCTCAGCTATAGATTTCATTTATAAATAAGTTGAAAAAGTTGTCTCCCTTTGGCAGGCAAAAGATGTGATTGAAGAGCATGGTCCTTCAGAAAAGGCAATAAATGGCCCAACTAGTGCTTCTGGCGATGAAATTTCTAAGCTACAGCGTACTCCAGGAGAAGAAAAGATTAATACCTTAAAAGAAGAAAACACTCAAGAAGCAGCAGTCCTGAATGGTGTTTCATAAACTGAAGAAGTTCCTAGTTTACAGTTCTTTTACATTACATTTTACAATAGTGCTTGTACAAGCTTGCCAAAGATAGAATATGGATCGCCAGTCTTTACATCGCACTTTCAGTTCCTCCATTTGGAATTCAGAAAGGGGAGGGATCCTGAAGAAATCATATGTTAAACATACTTTGACACCTACTGTGTTATAAAATATATCATCAGATGTGCCTTGAGAATAGTATATGTAACATTAAAAAAGTTGCTGGCTATAGGAAATGTTATTTTGTTTTCAAAATATGGCAGAGATGGGGGGGAGGTGGGTGGGGTGGGATCCCTAAGGTAATATTCTTTATGAAAGCATTAGCTGCTTTTGTTACATTTTTAATAATATGCAACCACTTCTTCACCTGAGGAAAACTAGAGTGAAATGCAGTCTAAAATATTTTGCACTGAATTGTAATTTCTTCATTAGTTTAGTCTGGAAACTGGTCTGTTTTAATGTGTTTTTAAAATGCTGTATGTAGAAGAAAATCTGCAGACCACTGGAATACATTTGTTAAAACTCTCATCTGCAGGGACACTGGGTGATATTGGCAGTGACTGTTCTACATTGAGGCTTTGTTTGGTTTATTTATTAAAGTGTACAGTATTTAAAAATCAAACATAGCTTTAGTTAAAACACTACGCTGAATTAGTCATGTCCATTCAGACATAACCTGAACTACTGAAAAGATCAATTTCCAGAAGGTTTATTCTGTATAAACTACATGTTAGTCTTCAGTAGAGTATCTTCCATTTCTTACTTTTTTTTTTCTTTTTTCTTTTTTCTTTTTTTTTTTTTTTTGATTTTGGTTGTTTGATGTGCAATATGTTTTTGTATGCAGGTAGTAAATAAACTTTGATCTTCCAGTTGCTGATTTTTAACTTTCTACTTTTTATACCAACTATTGCAAAGTAGTTTGAACTACTTAGAGGCCTAGAATAGTATCCTGATTGCTTTTTGAAAAGCGTTTATACTTGCTCATAAATAGCACTAAACTGTTGGTCAGTTAACCATTGTAATGGATCCTCTGAAATCTTAAGCACTTAAAATTTATTCTGTTAGAATGGCTTAGAGAATTGGTCACACATTTGATGTTAGGAAAGTCTTTGTAACAAAATTCTAATCAGGCAGCTTTTGGAAGGCAGTGGGGTAAAATCTAGAATTTTACTCTTACATTTCTTTAATAAAAATTTTTATAAGGAAATATGAGAATTTTTAAATATGGAATAGGCTACTCATTGGCTTTTTGATTCTCAAGGAAATAATTTTGAAGGTTTTCACACTAATGATTGTACTTTTTGTATATATTTTAGCTAGATGGCTTTATTTTATAGGAAGATATTTTCACATGAAGTTTTCTAAAAAGTAAGAAAAATAATTATGCACCTAATTGTGACATTATATAAAATAACTGTGGCTTTATGAGAGGGTTTGGCTCCATGATATTATATAGACCACTGAGCAAGAGAAAGACAGCATTTTCTGTCATTTGGTATCTTAGTGTTTTTTATGTGCATAATTTGTGTTAATTTATGTGCATAAAAATGTTAAGTGATTTTAATTTATAATGACTGAAGGAAAACTCAGGGTATAGTAAAAAATGTAGTAATTGCCAGGTCAGTGTACATAACCCCAGCCCTCAAATTTATTATTGCTGAGGTTGAGATGTGATGGTATTAAGCGCTTGTGCATAAAACGCTAATAACAATTCTTAAGGTGTGTTGTGAATAGTGCAGTCCTTGCATTTTGAATAACAATATCAAGTAATTTCATATCCTGTTTTTTTTTTTAATTTACCCTCTAATGTATTTTTATCAAAGTTAGAAACAAGTAAAATTGTTGGCCTTTTTATTTAGTTCTCTTCAGTAATAGGTTTACAGATTAATTATAAGGTATGAGAATAATGTTCATTACTCCCCAAATTGGTGAATATGGTATAAAGAAAAAGATTCTTTTCTCTCATGTAGAACAGATTCACTAAAATCCTTTTTGCATAAAGATTGTTTCAATGAGAAAGGAAGAAAGACGAGACAATTCTTAAAAAGTGGGTATAGCACAAGCAGTTCATTAGACTAGAACTAATAACCATATTCTAGGAAATAAGTATTAAGATTTCATTATCTACAAATGACTAAACCCAATGTTCTGTCCTTTAAAGAAATATATGTACTGTAGAATCATGATAGAGTGTTGGGAGTAAATAGCACATGCTCAGATTCAGAAGTGAAAAGCCCGCTCCCCAAAGATAACCATGGTTGGTTCAGGTAGCCTTCCAAACTCATTCTGAGAGGGATGCATCTTTTTGGCTCTTAATACTAGTGATGTTACTATGGGAGAACTTGCCAGTACACATTAAACAAAGACAGTGAAACAAAAATATCTATTCTAAAGGTCTTGTGTAGCTCAAGTATTGTGTTAGCATACATACGTGAAATCCTATATGGATTCTGAACTAAATCATGGAGTAGGAGCTGAGATTGTGTTGGGGCAAAAATGATCTTTTCCTGAAACTTGGAAGGCCTTGGATTCTTGGAGTTGGCATCACTGTTTTTAAGCTTTCAGTGGGCCTAAAACTGGTGAGTCTGTTGACAGATCAGTCACGGTTGGTAAAATTATAGTTTGTGAAGGCAATGTGTAGGCAATCAAAATAACGGAAGCACTAAGCTAGTGAGGAGGCAAAAGTAGCTGGTGTTTTGCTCTTGTATTCTGGATCTCCATTCTACTGTGGCTGGGATCCATCACCTTCATGTCAGCGGTATTTTTGTAGCTGTGAATTGAGTGTTTAACCTGAGAAGGGTCTCTTGCAAAGTTGGCATGTTAACTGTTGCAGTTAGATTGGGAAATAGTACTATTTGTGTCCTCTACAAATAGATTTATACTTTTTTGAAGTAGAAACCAACTAGATTTTCTCATAGGCTATGCCTACAATGAACTTAGTCTACTAAGGACAGATGAATGGAAAACTGGCTATAATGCAGTAAGTCCTGTCAGATGATTGGTGGTTACTGGAAATGAGAGTAAAAGAAAATTACGTTTACACTTGGATTTTTTAGAAGGCTTCAAGGAACTTGGATTTGAACAGGATCTATGGGGTTTGGCAAAATTACTAACGGCCAAAAAAGGATGCTTGTAAAGTCCCAATTTTAACTATCTTCACTATTATGGTTTGACTCCACTATACCTTTTTATAATGATATCTGGTAGTGTATTGGCTATGTGCTTGGATTAGGATGTGTGCTTGAATGCATAGTAGTCACTTAGAATCCATGATTAACCAATGACAATATTTGGGTATTACTTCAACTGTTGCAATAAATCAGTAACTGCAATTTTGTTATAGACCTCTGGCAAGTGATGATAATTCGAAACTTCACTCAACTACTGGTTGAAAATAAGTCAATTATGTTGAACTACAGGGGACTGCTAATAGTTGACCATCTTTGAGCCACAAAAAATAGGTTTCCTATGGTTCAACTTAATACATTTTTAAAGTACATTTTTAAGTATTATCATTTACTCTAGAAACCCAAGTCAGGAGTCTAATCCAGAAAACCCCAAACTACTAGATGAGGAAGTTACATATAAGGAATTAGAAATTTTGTTTTTTAAAAGGGTATTATCAGTGGATCATTCTAGAGTCAGATTCATCTGTTACTATTTCATGTACTAAAGTAAGGGGCATAATCTCCTGGATAAACTATACAGCTTTTTATAAAAAAGACTTCCATTAGTCCATTTGCTTATTTTCTTTGAGAATTTGAAAAGATGTAGGTGTAAGTACAAAATTGGGATTTACTATCTTCTAACTTTTTCTGTATTCCATTTCATCTCAAGGTATGGACTAGCTGAAGGCCTTTCCAGTATTAATGTAACTTGAGTCTATTTGTATACGGGACCCTGGGGTAACCCGTAACCATATTCCCAATACTCTCAATAGTTAGTATGCTGAATTAAAATGTTTTATATATGTATCCATCCCAGATATTTCCAACTATGCTATATGCAATCTAAAGGATATCAAAAGCAAGGACAAAATTATTTTTCACAGAGTTTCTCAGTCTTGATGCCCCACTATTTGTGTTTCAGGGATTGGTATGTATTTAGGGGTGAGGCATTTACAGAGAAATTTTCTGAATGTTTTGTACCCTTTTTACTTTATTGTCAAATGTAACTACTCGTTTTCTAATTTAGAGTTTATTACAAAAAATTTCCCATAGTTTTTCTACATGAATCATTTTATACAGTTCCAGTTTTCAACTTGCTGTTTTCAGGTTGTAAAGAAAAATGTCACTTAAACATTACATTTGAAATTCCATTAATAGAAACTATAAGGTAACAGCAAGTGTTAACATGTACCAGATTATACCTTAACACTACATACGTCTTCCTCATTGGGTCAGGTAACACTAGATAGAAGCAACTCTTCCTATATCTTGTTGCTAAGGCAACAGTTGGTTCTAAAGCAGATAAGACAGCACTCTGAACAACACAAAGCAGATCTTAGGTCAGTTAAGTTTCCTAGTAACGCAAGGTTACCTTCAATCCAGGCAGGATTCTTTATATAACCAAAAAAACTCGCATTCTAGTGTTTTTTACTTTACCTCAGATTTACAGGTGGTTTTTTGCTATCATTTTTGTTTTTGGAAGCTTTTGAGCCAGTTTCTAAATTTTCATTGGAATTAACGTGCTTGGTGGGGGATCATTTATGCTCAGTAAAATGTGACCTCCCTGCACACTTCGGAATTGCAACAAAACAAATTCTAGGTTTCCAGCTTTCAATTATTATTGAAACAGAACTCAGTATTTCTAGCCTAAAGTGTTGAAATTTAAGATTTGACTCCAAATGAAGCATTCTGCCTGAGTTAATTTCTTAAAAAATTATTTCTGATGCAAGATTTTAAGGTAGGGCATACATGTTCAGTATGCTGCCTATAGTATACTGAATGATGGTATCCCATCATTTTTTCCTGAAAATTCTAAGGGTGGGGAAAGATTTAACTTCGAGGACCCACTTATTGCTCAAACCCGCACTTTAACCAAACAAGCAAAGCAGTTTTTATAAGCAGTGAGGATTCTCAATGTCAACCCAGAGGTTGGGTTTCATCAAGCCAGCAAAGCAGTTTTTATAAAGCAGTGTATGACTCATCTAATAATGTCAACCCTGAGGCCCAGTGAAGGCAAAGGGGCTAGGTAGGGAAATTAAACCTCCAGTATGCCAGATCTGATACTAAGGCTATGGATGGGAATCCCCCTCACCCCACCCCCACAATGAAGACTAATATAGAGAACCAAATTATAAATAAATATAATAAACTGGAGAAGATACCGAGGGCTTAGTTTCACTAGCCTCAGAAATAACTTGCTCTGGCTTTGTTTCCCTATCCATAAACAGTTTTCAAGTTGGCCATTACTTTTCTTCTTAACACATGAAGCAGAGCCCCTAATACATACTGTATCTCCCCATGTATAAGACGCACCTTAATTTTGGGGCCCGAAATTTGGAGAGAAAAAAAACTACGTAAAGTTACTGAATTCAAGTTTTATTCATCATCAAAATTCATACATCACTTGCGGGAAATACAAGTAAAAAAATCTACAACCACTGTATAAGACAGTTTTATTTAGACCCCATTTTTCCAGAAAAGGTGCGTCATACATGGGGAAATACCGTATATGGCTTGCTCCAAGTTGCCTGGCTGTTGCAGAAGTTGGACTGGAAACCAGCATCTCTCATTTCCTAATGTGTTCAACAATACCTTTCTCCCCTTTTCGAAGTATCTGTAAGCACCCACTGACAAAAAGGCCCCAAGCTAGATATGTAATGACAAGTACCAGACAGCAGTACCACCTAGGAAAACATCTAGGTTACCAGATTTGTGAAAGGGACCACAGTGCAGAAGAGGTGAATAGCACAGAATTTGGGGTTGAGAAAGATCAGCCTTCTCACCTAGAATGTTGCTTAGGGCAAGTTACTTAACCTCAGTCAACTTCAGTTTCCTTGTAAAATGTACTGAATAGTAACTATTGAGATACAGTAGGTCCTCGATTAACATTTTGTTCAGCATTATTACATGCTGATGAGATGCCTCAGGAACTCAGCTCTTGTTTATATCAGTAGCGTATGGTATAACTGGTTTCGTTATATGTCATTTCACTTAAAGTTGAAAACCATCTATGAAGACATTAAGTGAGGACTTACTGTACAGGGAAAATGCTTAACAATGCTGGCACACTAAGTAGTTAATGTTAACATTACACCAGGTATTTTGTAAGGAAATAACATTAAAAAGATACTCTACAGATCATAACTTGTATCAGTTACCCACTATGATCTAAAGCCCTCAATGTAGATGACCTTTTTCCCCAAGAAAAATGGTAGGTTTGCCTAATAGCCGTCAATGAAATATGGATTCTCCTACTTGAAAAAGGTAAGCCTAGAAGAAACAACATTGCTAATGAAAGAAAAATGTGCTATTGTGCTCCTTAATATTACAGTGGTTTTCATTGTCTTCAAATGTCTTAAAACAGGTACGCTATTTACATTAAACACTCAAAATATACCCACTACATGAAGTTTTCCTTTTTACAGTTAATGCTTGATTGCCTGTCAGCATATTATCAACTTTATATTTGTCTTTGAAATCCAGTTTTGCTTTTTAAGTTTTAATACTATTTTTTTTAATTAAAGCTCGTGTTTATATTATCCAAAGGACTGAAATAAAAGGTCAGCAAGCCAAAATACAGTTGGTCCTCATTATTAGATTCCTTATGTGCAAATTGACCACCTCACTGAAATTTATTTGTAACCCCAAAATCAACACTTGAGGTAGGTGCTTTCTTGGTCATTTGTGGACATGCAGAGAGATGAAAAATTTGAATCACCTGATGCCCACAAAGTGATGCTCTGCTCTGTTTTCATACTGTAAATGTAAACAGGTATCCTTTTCATGATCCATTTAGTGCCAAGTTTTTCAATTTTTGTCCGTTTTACTGGTGATTTCCCTGTTTAAGATGGCTCCCAACCTTAGTGAAGTGTTGCCTAATGTTCCCAAACTCGAGAAGGCTGTGATGTGCGGGCATGCGTTAGTGATGTTGGCTGAGCTCAATGTTGAGGAATCAACACTATATATCAAATAAAGGGTCTTTAAACAGAAACACATAAAACAAGATTATATACTGATTGGCTAACAAAAGTGTTGCGACCAGAGACCTCATGGAAAGCTGTATTTCCCTTAGGAACAATGGTTCAGTCTTTGCTAATTGACTGTTCTCAGTGACTTTATAAACCACTACTTCGAATAACAAAAATCAACTGTACCCTCCTACACCGTTTCACCTGGAAATAACTAAAGATTGATCCTACACAAAAGTCATGGCTACCTTAAGCCTCATCATATTCTAAAACTTAACAAATGGGCTTGACCAGATTTTAAACAAGGAAACAGGATGGAAAATCAAAAGCAAATATACCCCAACATTGAAATGCCCCTAAACACACTTTAATACTATGATTACCACCATTATTTTGACCTGGAAGGTCTTTTGTGTTCTCCATTAATCATTAAGAATTTTAGGATGATTTAATAAAGTTTAGATGGTAGGTAGTATAAATAATCATCTTAAAGCTAAAACAGTAAGTACTCCTGCAGGAGATCACAGACTATTTACCGTGGGTGTTTTATACAAGTCCTTTGGTTTAAGATCCTTACATATTTTATGGTAGACCAATAGCCATTGTCCCCCTAAGTGTCACTAAAATATATCAATGTATAAATTCTCATAGTTCAAGCTAAATTTTTTGATAACTGAGGGCATTTCAGTTAATATTGTGTTTAAGCTAGGTCATAACAAATGCAAAACTTATGATTATGTAAAAAGTAATTTATAAATGGTCAGTTTAAGGGGCTAGCTTGACTAAAACCAAGACCTGTACTTTCAGATCTTTTTTATCAGTTTTTAAATGTATGAAAACTGAATTTTTTCAGTGATATATCCTAGATCAATTTCTTGTGGCAAAGTTGTGGCCAAATTCACTTTTAAGTTCATTGTTCCAAGCAGCTGGGCCAGTTCTCTGTACCTTGACAGTCTTTCCTCCCAATGAGATGAGTCCATACTATAACAACCTGTGCTAATTAATTCAATCGTAATATTCATCACATGGTAATGACCAGTTTATCAGTTTCCCACCCCACAGACTGTCTTGTTTGCTTTGCTTTGAAGTAGGTACTAAATTATTTGCTAAATGAGTAATGAACAGTATTTCTATTCAAATAGTAAGTATTCATAATTAAGGGGTATTAATCTCCAAATACTCTATAATCTGATTTAAAATTCTAAATTTAAACAAGAAACTTGTACCAAAGCTTTTAGTTTGTGCTTAATCATTTTAAAAATTTGTCGCTTTGAGGCATTTTATTATAAAAAGCTTGTACTCATACATAAACTAATAAGAACTTAAAATTCATCATACATTTACTTCATTTTTTAGCTTGACCTTCTAGTAAATCTTTAGCTTCATTGATTTTGGCTGCTATATAAGGAGATCCTCCTATAGGAAGAAAGAAAAAAGGAATAGTTATAATATGGATTCTCAATTTCTGCTTGGTGAAAAGCTATTGTCTTGTTTCAAAGATCTCTGCTAACCTGGGGAGAAATTACCAGAAATGGTATTCCAGTTTTTAAAATTAATTATGATACTGCAACTGACTAACCAAATATATGGTCATATATTTGACCAATAGGAAATGAGGTAATTCAAATGATGGAGATTTCCACAAAAATAGCACTTTTTTAAAAAGCTTAAACTGATGACAGGAATAGGATTTTTAAAAATCCAGACTTATGTAACTCTGAAATAGTGTATGTTACCTATTTGTGATAATTACAAGTCATAAATGAATATTAATTTATTGTACCGTGTTACTTGGAAATCATGATATTGTCAGAGGCTTCTGAGCTTTGTTGGAAAGACCCCACTTTGCTTTAGATCCTTTTTCTGCCCTTCGTAGTTTTTCTCTTCCTGTTATTAATTGTCCCTTCACAATGTCTTCTACAGCTGCTTTCCTAACCAATCTTGGAGCAGTGATTCTCAAAGTGGTCCTCAGACCAGCAAGCATCAGCATCAGTAAGATGAGCAGAAATGCAAATTGAAGGGCTCCATCCTACACTTGAATCAGAAGCCCTCCAGTTAATAGAAGCTAAATTTCATAAAAGATGCTATTGCAGTCAGGTAGTAAACGATCACAACCCTGTTTAAACTCAAAAACCTCTTTCTTAATGAAAGGCCTCTTAATAAAAGTAAAAGGATTTGAGCACTGAAACATGGATTTTATAGTCTATTATTTTGGTATTTCATGGAATTATTTCCTTTTAATATACTAAGACTGCTTAGAAATGTATCAGAAACTAATAAACACATCCTATAGGTTTCTAACTAGGTAACCTCTAGTTCAAAGATCTAAATGGATAGGAAAAAAAATTATATTTTTAGTTTTATTAATCAGTTAAACATTTCCTATAAGAATGTAGACCAAACTTCAATCCCCCCAAAGAGTAGGATTAGCAGTATTTGACTAGAAGTCAAATTTTATCATAAGTGCAGATCTTAAAACATTGTTATTGCTTATCACTACTTCCAAATTATAGTAGTTATTAGATACCTGCTCATTATTCTATAAATAAATTTTTCACTCAATTCTTTTAAGACACCAAAAGCAACAAATGGATCCAGTTTGGAAGACAGTGTTCACATTTCAGCATTTAGGCGTTTTCCTTATAGCCAAAAATTAGATATAAAATTATTCAATTAATAACAATTACATAGTCACTCAACATGTATAACAAGAGTTTACTACTTACCCTTGTCTGGGTGATTTAAAAGCATAATTCGTCGATGAGCATCTCTTATTTTTCCTTTATTGGCAGTAGGGCTAATTTTAAAAGGAAAAGGTATTGTTTACTCCAGACTACTTCTGTATCACATAAAAATTGAACATAAAGGCCAGTTAAAGATGTGAAATTGGAGTAAGTCAACACAACAGGAAAAGCTGTTTAGGAACTTCTTCCCTAACATACAAGAAAGATGAATACTCTGAATCAGAACTAAACAGCTCCTTACAAAAATGAAGAATTTTCAAACAATTTAATTGAACTTGATAATATTCATTACAATAGTCCTTTTATTTAAAAGGAAAATATGTTTTAAGTATTTGGAAGTGAAGGCAGCATTTCCCCACCAAAAATGTTAGTTATACAGAACAACATTGAGTACTATGATTATCTGTTACAAGTCTATCTTTCAATGAATTAAAGTGTGCTTATGTGCCAATGTGCCTTCTCACTAGACTTTTGTAGCGAGTGTTTCAATGTTAAAAATATATGTAATACAGATAGGTCCTTCCTAATGAAAGGTCTTTCTTACATTTGCTAATAGCTCGAGTTGTAGAAAATATTAAAAATATTAGAAATTATTTTACCTCACACCTAGTATTAATGCTGCTTCTCGTTTTGTCATTTTGGGTTCAAACCCACCTCTGTAATAGCCACCACTGAAGGCCTGAAAGAGGAAAAGCATTAATAAGAAAATATTAGAATAAGCTGAGAGTTGCTAAAAGTCTGTAAGTGTTCACAGAACTAGCAGAAAAACAGTCATTTCACATAACTTTTAAGTGTAATTTACATGGCATTTTAACTTGATAAGCGCAAGAAATATTTCAATCATTAAACAGGTCAATTTTTTTCCCCTAAAAACCTAAACTGTCTTGAAAATACAAGACAAAAGAACAGTGCCTAACGCTAGTTTTTCTGGGAGTGAAAGGAAGATCATTTGAAGTCAGCTATGTTCTACATAAAAATTTGATCTCCCAGTATAGATTATATGTTGTACATCTCAAAAGATTTAGAGATCATTTGAGACAAGCGGTTCGTGGGGATTTAAGGCAACTATTAAACAAGACTATTATATATGGACAAAATCAGGCTATTAGGTCTTCTGACCTTGTCATGTCAGAAATCATACTGGTAAAGCCTACCATCAACCTGTGTTGTCACATTAAATCACAATAAAATAACTCAGCAAGCTGTCACAGCCATATTCATTCTGAACTGTGAACACAGAAGGTATGAGCATCACAACCAGTCATACTCTACAGCCTAATCAACTGCAGTGCTACCTAAGTATCATGTTAGCGAGTGCCAGGGCTCAGAACGGATCACTTCAGATCCTTAGGTCCCTCTGTGCCTGTGAAGCAGAGCAGATTTGGGGGGGGGGGGGGGAATGTTGACAGATAATGCTTAATAGTATGTGAACAATAAAGTGATATTAACTTTCCCAATTCTAGAATTGTTAACATCTCTACCCCAATTCTATCGCACATAACATGTGACTTGCAGGTAGCACTACTACAAAGTTCAGAACATCTAACTCCTTGTGGAAAGCAAGGGAAGGGGCCTAAAGCAATCACTTGGAACTTCATGGATGTTTGGAAATTTACCCTCTTCAAGTGTAGAACTCTAAGCTTCATATATAAGCAGCAAAGAATTAGCAAAAATGTTTAGTAAGTCTTACGGATTTGGGTAGGCTTTGAAACACTTGTTTTACTTGAGGCTCTACATGCTTCATGGCTTGCAAAACATAACGGCCTAAAAACGAAAGCAAGAGAATAATTAAAAAGTTCCCAACCTCCCCTAGTGCCACCCCTCAAGCGCAAACAAACCTGCAAATCCTGCAGCAGCGATGGTCAATCCAACTGCTACCACTGTACTGGCCTGGTAAGGGGAAGCACAGTCAATATTTACTTCTCTAATTCCCAACCTTCCCTATCACACCCCTTCCCCCATCCCAACTCATTACAAGTTTTACTTCAACGGCAGAAACAACTTTCAGGGAGAAAACATTCCGCCCAATGATCCTTTAAAACGACTGCAATTTTAATATCCAATGCATTGTAAAGGTTTCACTATGGAAGAAAAGGATGATTTCCGTCCCTTTGAAAAACACCTCTCTCTAGCCTCACAGCAAATCAAGTTACACTCAAGTCCAATCAACGTGAGGGAAATAAAGTTTCTGCTGGAGAAGAACTGTTTCCAGAGAGTTTCTGTAAAATCCTGATAACGCATTCAACGTTAGACGTCGCCTTAACTAGGAAAGCCTCCCGCTTACAGAACGCGAGAGAAGCACAAGTATGTTTCAAGAATCGAGAAGAGAGGTGTCAGCAAGAGCCACAGGGGTGGACAGAGCCAAGTGCAGAAAGTACCGAGCGGAAGTGTTAGAGGGAAAGTAGTTAAAATCGAATGCGTTTCCATCGCTCTCCGAGCGCCGCAGCCGGCGGACCAGGGGCTGGAACCCCTGCAGAAAAGCCGTGTAAGAATCCAAAGGCCCGACAGGGGTGGCCCCGCAGCTCTGTGTCCCGGAGAGTGTGACCCTCCGAGGCCCCGCGGCCTCAGCCCAGAGTCACGCTGGGGACACAGCCGAGGCCGCGAGCTGAGGTTGAGAGGCCTGGACCCGAGGCTGTCCGGGCCGCAAGGCCGCACTCACCATGGCTGCGGCTCGGCTCCTCTGCCTCCACCGAGAGCGCGGGTCATCCCAGCCAATAAGGCCGCGGCCACCAACTCCACGCCTTTACCACAGAGCACCGCGGACACCGCCGGCGGGGACTAGACGCCGGCGCCCCAAGAAACACGGCAGCGGCGGCCGCACTCTAGGCCGGAAAACTGTCGTAAAAGGGGACCGCCGAGGGGAAGGGAAAGGTCGCTCCGGCAGTGGGCAGATGGAGAGCGCGACTTCGGATTGGCTGATGGATGGGAGGGTCGCCACAGGGCTCCGCGGAGGGGCTGCTCTGGGTTTCGCCGCTTGATCCTGAGACTAGGGTATTTGGGAGTTGTTTCAGTGAAGGATGTTGGTGTGCAACAGCGTGAGGAAATGCTGTGCAGCCTTACTCACAACCTCCGTTTGCCATTTATTTTGTTTATAATTGTCAAGGGCAATGATATCCGTGAATATGCCGGAACACTTCCACCATGAAGCCTAACAAATATGTAGCCACCCAGTATAGCAAACGTGAAGCTGTTTCAGAAAACCAGACGAATAAACCACATTGTGTTTCAGGGGTTTGTCAGTAACATTCTTTTACTTGAAAGAATTTTTTTTTATTTTTTTTTTTTTTTTAGATTTTTATTGGGAAATTGGAGAGAGGGACCAGCCAAGTTGTTGTTCTTCAGTCTTCATTGTGGAGGGTGCCAGTCGCCATCTGGCTTCCCATCGGCAGCTCGTGGCCTCTAAGCTCAAGGTGCTGTGTTCAGTCTTAGTTGCGGGTGGGTGTTGCCACCATGGAACAGGCAATCTTGTTACACCAGCTGAGCCAGCCTGCCACCTGTTGGCAGCTCACTGACAGCTCGGCTCAGGAGTAGCATCACTGGTCCATGTGGGAATCGAACCGGCGGCCCTGCTGCTCAGAGCTCGCGCTCTTAAGCCAACTCTTAACCAGCTGAGCCACTTGGCTGGCCCCTGAAAGAATTTTATTTAAATATGTGACTGGACAGGACCTTCTGTGAATGTTTGGCGGTTTGTTTTATTGAATGGAATTACCACTTTGTTGTGGGCCAACCGAGTAGTCACCCCCCTTGCTTCTCATTTTCCCACTGAAAAACTTAAGTTTTCTTTCCTTCTTAGTGCTTAGTTCCTTAGCTCCTGGCTTTGATTACTCTTCTAATCAGCTTGTGAATCCTAGGCTAAAGATTGCTCCTAGCCTGAATCATAAAAGTCTCCTATCCCCCTGCTTCTTGATTGTCTGTAAATCAGTCTCTTAATCCTAAACAATAGATTATTCATAGAAATCTCCAACCCTTGCTTCAGTTAACTACTTAAAAGCCTGTGACTTAGTATCCCCCAGGCCAGTATGATCCTTCCCAAGCCCATTCTGGGCCCAGACAACTGACGCCACCTGAGTGATTGGATGACTGGCCACAGGCTTCATGAGAGCTAACAGATTTATTAATTAAAATTTATTTTTCCTCATTCAGGGGCCTTGGAGATACAGAGGGTACCTCAGCAAGATTGCCAGTCACAACCAAAGAAGCCAATGTGGTCTTCCAGGCGGATCTCAAGACCCCTTCCTCTCATCTGAGATCAGCTAGGGAGAGAGTTCTGTGAATCCCCCAATAGGCAGGGACAGCTCTACACCCCTGCCCAGCAGGAAGTAGATACAGACCTCCTGTCCCTCAGCTTCCCATAGAGATTTTATGGGGCTCACGTCTCTCAAGGCAGGCAGTTAGAGGCAGGCATTGGGTCTCTGCATTCCTGCACATTCCACAGAATGTGACCACCAGCCGAGGTGACCGCCCCTCTCCACCCAAAACTTCTTTTCATTGTAACTATCTACCCCTACAAGGAAACAAATGGGTACAAAATACCTGACTGGATTAGACCAGTGACTCACACCTGTGCAGTAAAGGCCATAATGACCTTCATTTCACCTGGGCCTCATCGTACCATCATTATAATATCATACATATGCCCGGAAGTTTATTAATATTATTATAACAGACTGAAAGGAACATGCGCAGTCTAAAGAGATGTGGTAATAGCCTGTTGTCAATTACAGATGCCAATCAAGTGGTCCTACGCCCAGAGGGGAACAGCCCATTCTAGAGAAAAAGGGATAAAAACTCCAAGTCCTGGGAAGTCCTCCCTTTTGACCTCTTCTTCCTTTTTGGAACCCTTGTTCCTTTTGACTGCTTCTTCCTTTTTTGACCCCTTCCTCCCTTTTTTTGAGCCTTGCCTTTGCACGTGGCCCACTCCAAACTCTTTGGAATGTAATTTCCCTTATAATGATGGGCCCTTGAGCCATTCTCTACTGCTCGGGCCCACTTCTATTTCTTTAAAGTGTACTATCTCTTCTAATAAACTGCTTTTTCACTACTTTGCCCTGGTATCTCGTTCAATTCTTTGCTTGAGATGCTAAGGACCTGGACTTTGCACCAAGAAGGGCCACTCTCCGACAACTTCAAAGACAATACTCTGATCATGGGATTTCAAAATCCTCACAACTGAAAAATGCTATTTACAATTTCTCCCCCACTCCTAAAATAAAAAGTAGGATTTGGTTTTGCCCTAAGGGCATCTTTTGAATATATCCCTACATAAATGCTTGAGGAAAATAACGGAGGGAATAATGGAAGTTTTACAATGCAATATTTGGATGAGCAAAATAAGTTTGGCATTACTTCCCACTTAGGTCTTACAAAGTATTAGAAATATGTTTACATTGCAGTGAAATTCTGCTTTGATGAGCTGATTGGTTATTAGACAAATATGCAAATGTGTTGGCTTTGTTTTCTTCATCTATAAAAAGATTCTGCATTTGTATTTCCAAGAACTCTTCTTACCCTGAGATTTTTGTAATGTAATTTAATGTCAACAAATGATCCAGCACTGACTCTAAGTGGTAATTTAACTGTGCATCTTCCTTTTTTTTTTGCCTCTCTTTTATCTAGCTTTTACCCAACAACTATAAAAGAAAGAAATGAAGCATAAGACCTTGAATCAAATTGGCCAGAAACAAGCTAGACTGCTGCCTGAAAAAACTTATTATTATGTATTTTTTCGGTATGAATCAACTATGGCATATGCAGCTTGCTCGAAGAACAGGTTACTGTAACAGAAGCCCACCCCCAGGATACCAGGGATGGACAGTGCAGGGAGACACAGGAAGTGGAGCTACCTCTCTTTTTGGAGGCAAATCACATTAGATTTATAACCTGGCTCTGTCACTAACTAGTTGTGTGACTTCAGACAAGTTATTTCTGACCGAGTTTTCTCATTTGGAAAACAACGGTAATGATGACTACCTTGCTGAATTTTTGTGAGGATAGAGATTATGCACGTAGGGTGCTCTGCTCTGCACATAATTATCACTCAGTGTGTGGCTATTATTATTATGAGGGAAGTCAGGGCACAAATTGGTGTGCAGAGGCCTTCCTTCCCAATTCTCATGACACCTCAATCATGGGTATAAATCTGGTATTCCCTTCTCTACCCACTAAGGGCATGGAAAGAACCTGTAAAAGTACTCTTTTTAAATGTCCATTGACTGACTGATGAATGGATAAACAATCATTCCTTGCTTCTAGCTTCTGGTGACTGTCAGAATTCCTTGACTTGTGACTGCATGACTTCAATCTTCAAGGAAGGTCGGTGTCTTGAAATCTCTCTACTTCGCCTTCACGTTGCCTTCCCCCTCTGTGTGTAGGATCTCCTCTGCGTCCCTCTTAAAAGATATATGCATATAATTACCTTTAGGGCCCACACCTATAATTCAGGATAACCTCCCCATTTCAAGATCCGTAGTCGAATCATAGACCCTTAACATAATAGCTACAAAGACTTTGCCATAAGGTAATATTCACCGGTTCTAGATTTTAGGACCTGATGTTTTGGGGGTCATTATTTAGTCTACTATAGAGAACAAAATGGGACTAGCGGGGACAAGAGAAAGGAATCAAGCACATCTGCTCATTTTTCCCCTCAGATTTGTCAGTCAGATAAGACATTTTTTGGGGAGGAATAAGAGAGAGGTGAGAGGGCGTAGCCAGATGTGTTCTTGCAATTTCTTAAAAATAAAAACTGCTGGGAAAGTCATTAAGTTCACAGCCCACTAACTGATCATGATCTGAATTTTGGAAAGCATCTCTCATAAAAATCCACACTTGAAAATATGATGCCAAGCAAATAAGAGTTGTTTTTTTGTTTCCCTAAAAACGGTGTGTCAGACGTTGTACTAAATGCATTATGTAAATTATTTCCATTCACTCCATGCAGTAATATTAATATTTACTTCTGTTTTGCATATGAGGCTATTTTGTCAGATATACTTGTTTTCCCTTCCAGATCTCTTCTCTATCATTTTCCATTCTGCTCTGTATCCCAGACAAGCACAGGTTAGGAGGCTGACCTCAAAGGACTGCATTAATGGCTTTCTTGTCTTCTGGCTTGGGGCTCAGTTATGTCTGGGATCAGATCAGAAGGCAGGAGGAGAGTGAGTTCAGGGTCTTCATTTCTCCGTCTTCTCTCCTGGTGGTTTTCACTGAAGAATACAGCTCCTGGTGTGTGTAGGTGTGTTCAGGTAATTACTCCCACTCCTTGCCCCTTTAGGTCAAAGGGTAGTAATGACCTCATTGGTCCTTGCTGCCTTGCTAGACACAGGATACTTGACCATCATTTGCTATTTTTCCTTAATCCTGTCCACACCTCTGTAAATAGTCCATTTATTAAATTCTCAGTTATTCTATTTGGGTATGCCATCTGTTTCCAGCATGGATGCCGACTGCAATAATTCAAGTAGGAGATGATAGTAACAATGGAAATGGAAAGAAATGGCTGGACTCCTGTTTATATTTTGAAGGAAGAGCTGATGGAATTTGCTGATGGATGAGTTATAGTGTGTGTGAGAGAAAAAAGATTCAAGGGTGATTCCAAAGCTGTAGCTTGAGCAACTGGAAGGGTGGAATTGCCATTTAATAGACCTGGAAGAATTTAGGAAGAGAAAGCTGGAGGTGGGAACTTTCGTCATGTTAAGTTTGAAATAGATAGCTAAGGAGTGTTTTCAAGTAGGCATTTGGATATGCATGTCTGGCATCAAGAGAGAGGTCTTGAGTCATCAGCACAGATGATTTTTGAGGCAATGTAACAAGCGAAATCATCCATTGCATAAGTGGAGAAAGAAGAGGAATAA